GTGGATCACTTGCCCTGTGCTTGGGGGTCTGAGTATCAAGATACAGGCTAATGTGGCCAGGATAAGGAAGCACATCACTTGAGGACTTGGCACAGAGCCTTTGCTGAGACAATTGGGGCTCATGCCAGGCAGGGCAGGACTTCTGTGTCCATGTGTTTGTGTGCTAGTACTGGGCCTTGAACTCAGGGCCTGGGCACTGTCCCTTAGTTTTTTTTTTTTTTTTGCTCAAGGCTGGTGATCTACCACTTGAGCCACAGCTCTACTTCTAGATTTTTTTTCTGTAGTTAATTGGAGATAAGAGTCTCATGGACTTTTCTTTCTCAGGCTGGCTTTGAGTCTCCATCCTTAGTTCTCAGCCTTCTAAGTAGCTAGGACCAGCTAGGACCTCCTAGGACCAGCTAAGTCTTCCTTCCAGATACATAGTCTAGTCCTAACTCAGCTTAGTCTCTGAGGGGAGAGCACCAATGTGAGGTAAGGTTCTGAACCAGGTAGGTGTTGGCAGGTCCCCCCTTTCTTTGTTGTTGTTGTTGGCATTGGGGCTTGAACTCTGGGCCTGGGCACTGTCAGTCAGCTCTTCAGCTTAAAGTGAGCTCAAAGTGAGTGCTCTACCACTGGAGCCACAGCACCACTTCTGAGTGGTTTATTGGAGATAAGAGTCTCATGGACTTTCCTTGCCTGGGCTGGCTTTGAACCGTGATTCTCAGATCTCAGCCTCTTTAGTAGCTAGGATTACAGGCGTGAGCCACTGGCGCCTGGCTGCCAGTACTCTATTATTTGAGCCTCATCCCTAGTCCTTTTGTTTTTGTGTATTATTATTTTTCAGTTTTGATGGTACTGAGGTTTGAATTCAGGGCCTTGCATTTGTACTTTACTGTTCAGCCATGTTTCAGCTGTATTCTGGTCCAGTTGTTGTTGTTAATACTGGGGCTTGAACTCAGGGCCTTGAGTTGTTGCTTTGCTTTTTTTTTTGGGTCCGGTCGTGGGGCCTGAACTCTGGGCCTGGGTGCTGTCTGTCCCTCAACTCTTCAGCTCAAGGCTAGCACTCTACCACTTGAGCTACAGTACCACTTCCGGCTTTTTTCTTTTTGCTTATGTGGTGCTGAGGAATCGAACCCAGGGCCTCAGGCATGCAAGGCAAGCACTCTACCACTGAGCCAACTTCCCAGCCCTTGCTTAAGGCAAGCACTACAATTTGAGTCATGCCTCCAAGTTTAGATTTTTGTTTTTTGTTAATTAGAATCTCAAAGACTTTATTTTGCCCCAGATGGCTTTGAATCACAATCCTCAGATCTCAGTCTCCTGCGTAGTTAGACTTATAGGACTGACCCATTGGGTGACTTTGAGATAAGGCCTACCAATTTTAGGCACATACCACTGTACCCAACTCTCTCTCTCTCTCTTGCTGGTCGTGGGGCCTGAACTCTGGGCCTGGGTGCTATCCTCAGCTCTTCAACTCAAGGCTAGCACTCTACCACTCGAGTCACAGTGCCACTTCCAGCTTCTTCTGCTTATGTGGTACTGAGGAATTGAACTCAGGGCCTCATGCATGCGAGGCAAGCACTCTACCACTGAGCCATCTTCCCAGCCACACCCACCTCTCTTGTTGGGAAGGGGATCAGGCAAACTTTTTTCTGCTTAGACTGGCCTTCTACCTGGATTCTCCTATTTTCAGCCTCTCAAGTATTTATTTTGGCTTTTGAGATAGGGCCTCCAGCTAGTTTTTCCTGGGATGGCCTTGAACTTGTGGTCCTCCTGCTTTTATCTCCCAAGTAGCTGGAATTGCTGACACACCACCATACCCAGTTTGCCAGATCCTTCTTGAAGCAGAATTGTAGGGCTCTCAGCACTCTTTGATGATACTGGTCCACCTGGAGGTAATATCTAGGGTTGAGGCTGAGTGGGAATGAACCCCTGACCTTCCAGAGACTGTTATTCAGGGCCAGCAGTGTACATAGCACAAGGCTTCATTATCACCTGAACCCAGAACCTCAGAACCTCAAACCTAGAACCCAGGACCTCAAACAAACTCTTCTAGCTGTGGGCAGAGGAGGCTGGTAGACATAGCCTGCATAGGGCAGTGACCACTTTTTCCCTTCCCCTTCCCTTTCCCCTTCCCCTCTTATTTGTTTGCCTGCCTGCCTCCCTCCATCCTTCTTTTCTTCATTCTTCCTTCCCTTCCCTTCCCTTCTCTCCCTCCCTCCTTCCCTCCTTCCCTCCTTCCTTCCTTCCTTCCTTCCTTCTTCCTCTCCTTCCCCCTCCCTCTTTTCAGCAGTAGAGGGCTTTATGCTCTAGCTCAGCTTTTTTACTCATGACTGGCACTCTACCACTTGTCCCATAAATCTAGTCTGACATTTTGTTGGTTAATTGGAAATAAGCAGGCTTATTTCTGCTTAGGCTATCTCTAATTCCTAATTCTCAGACCTCAGCTTCCTGAGTAACTAGGATTATAGATATGAGACACCAGCACCCAGCCTTCTCATTATCATTATTTTGGGGGAGGGGTGGCAGTACCATTTGAACTCAGGGCCACAAGCCTGTGCTGCTCTAGCACTTGAGTCATTCTCTAGGTCTTTTGTTTTTAGTTTATTTATTTATTTATTTTTTTGGTCGGCCGTGGGGCTTGAACTCTGGGCCTGGACGCTGTCCCTCAGCTCTTCAGCTCAAGGCGAGCGCTCTACCACTTGAGCTACAGCGCCACTTCTGGTTTTCTGGTGGTTTATTGGAGATAGGAGTCTCACGATCTTTCCTGCCCGGGCTGGCTTTGAACCGCGATCCTCAGATCTCAGCCTCCTGAGTAGCTAGGATTACAGGCGTGAGCCACCAGCGCCCGGCTGTTTTTAGTTTATTTTTTGAGGTAGGGTCTTGTGCTTTTCTCCAGTCAGCTTTGGATAGTGATCCTTCTATTTCTAACCCCCTTCTTAACTGAGATTATAGCCACTCCACTCCATTCAGTGGTTCCTTGTTGCATGAGGAGACTGAGGAAGAGAAGCTGAAAGGAGGTGGTAGGTCCTAGTAGGAAGGAGCACTTGAGGAGAGCATTGCCTTCCTTCCTCTCAGTGGGGAAGACTTGCTGCATCTCAAATTCTTCAAATTGCTCTGGGAAGAGGCCCTGCCCACCTGCTTGCTCAGTTTCCCTAGCCTCGGCAGGAAATCTTTTTTTTTTAATTGTTGGTCATGGGGTTTGAACTCAGGGCATGGGCAGTGTCCTTGGGCTTTTAAACTCAAAGCTAGGCTCTACCAGTTTGAGCCATAGCACCACTTCTGGTTTTCTGGTAGTTACAGACTTTCCTACCTGAGCTGGCTTCAAACTGTGATTCTCAGATCTCAGCCTCCTGAGTAGCTAGGATTACAGGTGTGAGCCACCAGAGCCCAGCAGGAAATGTTACTCTGTATTTGGAAACTTCATATTTCTTTTTTTCTTTTTTCTTTTTTTTTTTTTGTCGGTTGTGGGGCTTGAACTCTGGGCTTGAGTGCTGTCCCTCAGCTCTTCAGCTCAAGGTGAGTGCTCTACCATTTGAGCTACAGAAACTTCCAGTTTTCTGGTGGTTTATTGGAGATAAGAGTCTCACAGACTTTCCTGCCTGGGCTGGCTTTGAACCGTGATCCTTAGATCTCAGCCTCCTGAGTAGCTGGGATTACAGGCATGAGCCACCGGTGGCTGGCTGAAACTTCATATTTCTGGATGGGGAGAGCATGTGAAGGAAGGTGGAGGCTGGGTGGGGAGCGAGTGACACTATAGGCCCAGGGCATCTCTGGTCAGCATGGCCTGGCTTCTGCTCTGCGAGGGGAGGCCTGTAAATGAAGGCTCAGTTGCTGAGACCACAAGACACTTGCTTTATTGTTCCAGGACTGGGTACAATGGCAGGCTACTGAGGGATCTGTTTGTGCTTCATACAAGCCTAGAGTCCACCTTTGGAGGTACTTGTCACCCCAGGACCCAAGTAGGTTGCTGATCCCACCTGTGGGGACATGGTAGGCACCTGGGGTCACAGCTTCAGCTCTAGGGACATCTCTTGAGCTTCCTGGTGTCCTGAGTCTGCCAAACAAAGAGAAGGTGGGGGCCATGGCTGCTCCCCCACCAGCCTGTGCTAAGTTTTCCTTCCCCAGATGCCCAGGCTGCTTGAAACAGTTCAAAGTAAGCTGGGACATGAACAACAGGAACTTCTTTCTAGACAGAGTTAAGACTGTGGTGACCTGCAGGGGACTTTTTCTACCCCCTGGGACTAGGACAAGTGAAGGTGTTCGAGTTTCCTAGGACAAGGATTTTTTTTCCTCCCAAACACTTGTGTTGAAATTGGGCTCAGTTTGGTCCTGGGTGGATGTTGTCTCTCCTGTGTGTCACCTGATGGTGGTCAGACAGGATATATGTGAAGGTAGATAGAGCCTGGCAATCAGGTGCTGCTAAGCAGCCCCCCCTTACCCCCGCCGACCTCGGGGTGCCCACAGGTCACATGGAGCCAGAGCCTGGACCATTGGGGTGAAGATGGGAAATAAATACAGGGGCTTCCGGGAAAGGATATGACTGGAGGAGGCCAGGCCTGCAGAGTACACAGTCAGATGATGGTTGATGGGACCTTTGACATGGGATGGGGGTCTTGAGCTTTGGTAACCAAGGCTTTTAACTCTCAGCTACCCCAGACAGGAAGCTAGGCTCTCTATGATGTGGTGTGGATTCCTCTGCATGTGAGGTGCACAAGTAGGGGGTGTATCTGAGGGACTGCGGATCCGTGTATGCTGGAACGCTAAAGGGACAGAACTAGGAGAGTGCATTTGCTTCTTGTTCTCCAGGAGCCCTGAGTGAGGAGCTGGACCACCCGATGGCAGCAGTGTGTGAGGGCAGCATCCTGGGTACTGTCCTCTACCCCGCAGCTGCCAGCTCACAGGGAGTGGCACAGGGGACAGGTAGCGTTTTCCTTCCTTGACCTTTAAAGGTGAAGCCGATGTGGGCAATAAGCTGGGAAATCCAGATCAGGCAGAGATGAGCTGATGCTAGGCCTAGCTCATGCCAGGGCCATGGGCTTAGAGCTGGGGCTGAGGTACACAGCAGGGCCGGCAGGGGCCGTGGGGGGCGTAGGCTCCAGCTCCACATAGGCTGAGTAGAGGGTGCTGAGGTGTAGATCTCCTAGGGCCCCGGATCCCTCACTGCCTGATGGTGCCAATTCATTTGCTCCACCGCTTGTCTCTGGTAGACAGGGCCCTGGGGGAAAGCAATGGGAGGGTGGCAGGGGTGGTGGCAGAGAGGAAGACGTCGGGGATGAGGTCACCAGTACCAGGGGATCGAGGGCCAGGCTGTCGTCCTTCAACTGTTCCCACAGGTTTCCTAGTTGGGGAAGGAGGGAAGAACAAACGTTAACGGGGAGCAGCAGAGGGGCTCTATATGTCCTCCACAGAACCCTTACATGCTGTGGAGAGAAAGATTAGGGTGTCACTGATGGGAAGCAGATGTTGGTACCAGCTTGGATTGATTTTTTTTTTTTGAGTCTCAGATGCCAAGATCCAGTGGCACAGTCTGAAAGCCTTGTGACCTTATTTTGGGGGTAGAGGGTGAGGGTCAAGATTCAGGGATTTGAGAATTGCCTACTAGAATGGTTGGTGCAAATTCTGGACACCTGGTGGTAGCCTGGAGGACCCTCTGAGATCATCCCACAATGTACCACGTGACTGATGAGGTAGACAAGCCTGAATTCCTGGGCCTCCTCTATTGTAAGGGCTAGGGGCCAGGGACCAGGGACAAGCACAGGAAAGCATATCAGACTCAGGAGCAAACAGTGCTGCCACTCTCTCTCTCTCTCTCTCTCTCTGTCTCTCTCCCTCTTCCTCTTTCCCTCTCTCAGCATCATGGCAGGCCAGGTCCTGAGGTACAGGACATCAGCCCTGTAGGGTCTAGAGGATGGGATTGGCCTTGGCTGCCGATCAAACTCCCTCTCTCTGGGGAGTGATCTTGATTAGAATATAGTGTGAACATGTGTGGAGAGGTAACAATGAAATCTGTACTCCCCCTTCTCATATAACTAATATAAACTAATAAAAAAAAAAACCAACAATTACCTAGCCCTGAGAAGGTCCTGTCACCTCTATGTGCACTTGTGAAATGGTTTTAATGTTTCCTTGTTATTTTATAGGCACAGATGGGGACATATGTAAATACTTAGTACTCAGTAGCTTTTTTTGTAGTGCTGGGCATTGAACCCAAGATCTAGTATTTTCTTTCTTTTTTTTTTTTTTTGGCCGGTCATGGGGCCTGAACTCTGGGTCTGGGCGCTGTCCCTCAGTTCTTCAGCTCAAGGCTAGTGCTCTACCACTGGAGCCACAGTGCTACTTCCAGCTTTTTCTGTTTATGTGGTGCTGAGGAATCGAACCCAGGGCTTCATGCTTGCAAGGCAAGCACTCTACTGCTGAGCTATCTTCCCAGCCCAAGATCTAGTATTTTCATGCCCACAGCTGCCTAAGCCCTGATTTGGACTGAGATGAAGATGTATTTATTTTATTTTTATTTTTTATCAGTTTTTGTCAATCATAGGTCTTAAAATCGGGGCCTGGGTGCTGTTCCTGAGCTTTTTTCACTCAAGGCTAGCACCCTACAACTTTGAGCTGGTTTATTTTACTTTATTTTATTTTTTTGGGTCGGTTGTGGGGCTTGAACTCTGGGCTTGGGCGCTGTCCCTCAGCTCTTCAGCTCAAGGCTAGCACTCTACCACTTGAGCCACAGTGCCACTTCCAGTTTTCTGAGTGGTTTATTGGAGATAAGAGTCTCACAGACTTTCCTGCCTGGGCTGGCTTTGAACCGTGATCCTCAGATCTCAGCCTTCTGCATAGCTAGGATTACAGATGTGAGCCATTGGCAGTGCCCAGCTGAGCTGGGTTTTCTGTTGGTTAATTGGAAATAAGAGACTCATATACTTTCCTGCCTGGGCTGGCTTCAAACTGTGATCCTGAGCCACCGGCCCCAGACTGGGATGAGGATTTCTTTGAAGATATTCCTAAGAATAGTTTCCTAAAATCTGGTGTGTCTCGCCATCAGATTGGAGCTCTCTGGAGGTAAACTGTTTCCTTCTGCTTGTGAGTGCCCCAGAGTGGTTTGAAAAGGGGCAGGTAGAATGTATTCAGGGCACCAAGAGGAAGGAAATGGGGGCAAGGACCCTCCTCACTCCATGCTCTGGGTAGGGTAGCTAGCTCCACACCCACTTTTGGCTCTTTATCTTCAAGTGACCAGAAACCCAGTAGCCAGCAGGCAGCAATCCCAAGAGCAGTAAAGGACAGCCAGCCAAACATGAGCAGCCTCTAGTCCCATCCCACCTCCCCTTTCCCATCCCCCTGCTCACCCTGGAAGTCAAAGTCAGTGAGAGAAGGGTTGATGGCATCCAGGTCAGTACCAAGGTCTCCATCTGGCAGTAGGGTGTCATGCACGGTCCTGGCTGGCGAAGGTTCAGCCAGCAGCTTGGTGCTGTGGCTGGGAGGGGTGTGGGCAGGCAGAGGTGAGTCCTGGGGGGTGCCCGGCTGGACTCGCAGCTCAAGGTGCCCATCTGGCTGCGAGAACAATGGCGGTGGAGGTCCAGCAGGGGCCAGGCCTGGTGAGAGGTGTGGGTATGTCTGCCCGTAGCAGGAGGGTACATGCCCCCCTAAAATGTCCTGTAGGGGGTTCTTGCCAGGAATGGGGCCTGGAACTGAATGGATTGAATGCAGTGGTTGGGAGAGCCCAGCTGGAGGTGCCAGTGGCCGGATGGGCCCTGGGCCTGGCAGCCCAGGGGGTGGACAGCCCAGCATCGGGGAGGCTAGCTTCTCCCTCTTGTCTCCAATGAGGCTGTCCAGCTCTTCTGAAAAGGTCCAAGAGAGAAGGATCATCATGAGACCTCCCTTGTTCCCAGCCTCCTCCTCTCCCCAACCCAGCCTCAGAATCCTCTTGTTTTTGGTTCATGGGTTCCCAGAATTCTCCCTCCTAAGGCCAGGCTAAGTCTTACCTGGCTTGGCCATGCTTTTTCGCACAGCAATGGGGTCTTTCCTCTTCCATTTCTGCAGCTCCTCCTGCATCTTGTCAATCTTGGCAGGATTGAGGGCCCACAGGCAGCCCTTGCGCGATGAACTTCCCGACTTGTTCTCCACCTTCTCAAAGCACTTGTTGAGTGATAGATTGTGGCGGACAGAATTCTTCCAGCCATCAGGTGCTGTCTGCGGGAGTGAAGCAAAGCCAAGAATTCAGGCTGGGTTCAGGCAGCAAGAGTTCGCTCTAGGTCTGAGCTCTCTAAAACATGAAATTTGCCAATTCAGTGCACAGACCCACTATCTATTGAGCATAAGCTCAGTAACTTTCGGGGGAGAAACCTAAAATCTGCCCTCATCCTGCCCAATCCATTAAAGGACCATGAAGTAATGAAAGAAATGACTGGTTGCCAGGTATTGTGACGCATGCCTATTATCCTGGCTACTCAAGAGGCTGAGATCTGAGGATCACAGTTTGAAGCCAGCCCTAGCAGGGAAGTACATGAGACTTATCTCCAATTAACCAGCAGGGAAAAAAAAAAAAAAAGCAGGAAGTGAGCTGGGTGCCGGTGGCTCACGCCTGTAATCCTAGCTACTAAGGAGGCTGAGATCTGAGGATCGTGGTTCAAAGCCAACCCGGACAGAAAGTCCCTGAGACTATCTCCAATTAACCACCAGAAAACTGGGAGTGGTGGGATGTGACTCAAGTGGTAGAGTGCTAACCTTGAGCTGAAGAGCTGAAGGATAGTGCCCAGGCCCAGAGTTCAAGCCCCATAACTGACAGACAAAACACACGCACACACACACACACATGGGCTGGGAAGGTGGCTTAGTGGTAGAGTGCTTGTCTTGCATGCTTGAGGCCCTGGGTTCGATTCCTCAGCACCACATAAGCAGAAAAAGCTGTAAGTGGCGCTGTGGATCAAGTGGTAGACTGCTAGCCTTGAGCTGAAGAGCTGAGGGATAGCGCCCAGGCCCAGAGTTCAGACCCCACAGCCAAAACACACACACACACACACACACACACACACACAAAAGCAGGGAGTGGAGCTGTGTCTCAAATGGTAGAATTACTAGCCTTGAGTGAGAAAGTTGAGGGACAGTGCCCAGGCTCTAGTTCAAGCTCTAGTACCTTCCCCCACAGAAGTGTGTGTGTGTGTGTGTGTGTGTGTGTGTGTGTGTGTGGGAGGGAGAGAGAGAGAGAGAGAGAGAGACAGAGACAGACAGAGAGAGACAGAGAGGGATGGAGAGACAGATAAATTGGGGGGGGGGCTGGTGGGTGCCCAAAGGCCTCTGGCCTATGTCCCTACTAAAGTTGTACTACCCACACTGGGCCTTATGGCCTATGTAGCCTCTTGCTCACTACAGGGTCTCTTGGATCAGCTCTGGAGGGAGAAGCTGTAGAATGTTCCTCTCTTAATCCAAACTTAGCCCTTCTGGAGCCAACTTGGGAGAAAAAAAATGGGTGAGCTGGTGAGAGGTTGGGTCTGTGTACACATGTTGCACATGCATTTGACTGTATTATATGGGGTTGGTGCACAGGTGTGGGGGGGGGTGAGGTACATCCCTAAATGTGCCTTCCTGGTGTGAGCAGTGTGTTCAGGTACGAATGGGTCTGTGTGTGAGGATATGCACGTCTCCAAGGGTAGCTGTGTAAGACTCTCTCTGAGTATGTGTGTATATGGGATGTGTGTGTGTATCTATGATTGAGTGTGTGGGTGTGTGTTCACATGAGTGTGCCCAGGGGGTGTGTCCTTGTGTGGAGGCCAGCCCTCAGGCGAGGGGGGGGTACCGTGCCAACAGAATAAACACCCATTAGGAGTCCTGGTCATGCCACCAGCGCAGTAATTGTGCCCAGGGAGTGTTGTAAAAACCATTAGGCTGACTCAGTTGGATGAGAGGCGGTGGCGGGGGTGCCTATGGACTTCCCGCCCCCTACCTTTCCATCTGTTCCAGGTTCTGGGACTGCCTGGTGCCCAGTGGGGGTGGACTGTGTCTAGAGCTGCTTCTCTGGTCATTGGGGCTCCTTTGCCCTCATCCTCTGACCCTTCTCCTTTTCAGTCTTTAGTTGCTGGTTAATGAGGGGCAGCCACTCCCTCCTCCCAGCTCACTTGCCCCAGGGAACAGTCAAGCTGAATCACGCCCAGCAGAACCAGGCCCTGATGCCAGCGTCACTATGAGTTGCTGGCTGTGGCTACTGGAGCCTTTCTTGGGGACAGCTGCCCTGGGGATGGGGGGCTGTTTGAGATAATCCCCCAAGGATCATTGCTAAGGAAGATTTTTTTTTTTTTTTTTTGAGCCATCAGACCAGCCTCTGACTCCCACAACTGTCTCAAGGCTGTGTCGCCCCCTGGGCAGAATTAATGGGCACTGGGATTTTTTTATGGCCCCATAAATCTGTGACTTTGGGATGCCAGGGCAGCCCTCACCCCAGCCACTTCCTGTTTGGAAGGAGTATGGTCAGCACTAACAATTATGTCCAGTGGCTGGACACTTCCCTAGTCCCACATTCCTGACTCATGGGGCTATAGGACGCACACATCGGCTGCCCTGGGCCTGAGTGTAGTCCACTCAGAATCAGGTCTTTCCTTGCCCAGAAAAAATACCGTCAAATGGCGAGTGAGAGATGGAGAGGGTAGGGAATCTTTGAATAGTTCCTTAGAAGAGTCAGAGGGAAATTGTCCAGTTGGCAGGAATCTCTGTGCCAACAGATCCTGACAGACCATTTGTGTGCCAGTATTTGGGCCTTGAAGTTGGGCTTGGTCACTATCCCTTAGGTGTTTTGCTCAAGATTGGGCCTTTACCACCTGAGCCACACTTCCACTCCTGGTTTTCTGATGGTTAATTGGAGATAAGAATCTCGTAAACTTTCCTACCTGGGCTGCCTTTGTACCTAGATCCTTAGATCTCAGCCTCTTGAGTAGCCAGGATTCCGGATGTGAGCCACTGGTGCTCAGCAAACTCAACCATTTTTACAGAGTGGAAAACTGATATCCAGAGAAAAAAGGCCTAGCCTTTTATCACCCCATAAGGGAGTGATGAACCCAGATTCCAGCCCTCTCCTTTAACTAAGGGCCCTGCCCAGGTCACCCATTCTAGGACCTGCCTTACCATCCGGGGCCCGTCCTATCTTCTTAGATGCTCTCTCTCTGAAGTCAAATGTAAACTGGGGAATGAGGGAGTGATGCAACTGGCTAAGAACAACAACTAGAACCGAAAAAAGCTGTTAGACCTCTTCACTCTTCAGCCTCATAAAACAGGGATTACACGGCTCCCAGGAAAAATAATTAAGCCAGGAAGATGAGATGCAGGGAGGGGCCGAGGGCCAGGCTGGGAGTTGGCAAGAACCATCGTTGGCCCAGAGGAGTGGGGCAGGGCCTTCGTTTCCCTTTCTCTGGCCCAACCCTTGGAGGCCTGGAAGACCCTCAGGGCTTTAGGAGTTAGAGAGAGCTCAGCTCCCTGACCTGTTGGGGCACAGGTGCAATCCTAGGTACAAGGCTTTGAAGCCTCTGGAATCTGAGCAACTACTTTCCTCCCCCTCCTCTCCCTTTAAACCTCTAGTGGGTCAACATGTTTTTCTATTCCTGGCCAGATCATGCCCACCCTCTTACCCACTCCCCACCGGACAGCAGCTCAGCAAGTACAGACGCGTCTGGACATCAGCTGCCAATTATCCCCTGGCAGGACATTTGGGGAGCTGGGGCTGTGGGGTGGGGTGGGGGCAGGAACCCACCACTGGCAGAGATGGAGCTGAGAGTTCTGGATTGCCTGGGCTTCAGCTCCTGGCCTCTGCCTGGGAAGCAGAGGAGATCCTGTCCATCAGGATGTCGTTCTTGGGGAAGGCATGTCTTAGACACAAGCTCACACCCACCCAGGATGGTCTGGGGCATGGGGTGGGCAGGCAGCAAGGGAGAGGGGACAGTGTGTGAAGCTAAATAACTTCATCCGGGACATGACTCCACCTGCTATGTGACCTGGGGTGAATAGACTGCCTTCTGATATATTTTCCCATCTGGGAAAAAGGGTACCTGTCCTGTCCCAAGAGGCTGGACCTCAGGGGGCCCATGCAAGTCAAATCAGACAGGATTCCTCAGGGTTAGGCAAAAGGTCAGAGGGGATCTAGTTTACCCCCTGCCCCCCAGGCAGGAATCTGCTCTTCAGCATCCCTTGGGAACCCACTGGGTTTGACCTCTTACCTCCTGCCATTATCCTTACCCCCTGAGGATTTAGTGACTCAGTTTCCTCAAAGGCCCTTTCACTCCTTCTCTTGATCTAGGGGTTCTGGGAGGGAGTTGGGTTGGGCTTTCTCCAAACCCCTCCTGGGGAGGTTAAGAGCTAGATTCTGTACCCAGGAGGTGGGAAGGGAGAGAGTCAAGTGAGCCAGCCAGTTCTATGGAACAGCCAAAGACTATGAAACCCACACCCCACTTTCTGGCACAACTGCAGCTCAGCCTGCCGCCCACAGAGGCAGATCATAATCTCACTCTGCAAGGCGATGGGTTCTTCAGCCCCAGCACCTCTTGTCACCCTGGCTGACCAGCTCCCACTGGAATTCCTCCAGGTTCACAGCATCCTGGGGGCAAGGCCAGGGACAGCTTCTCATTTCTTCTTCAACTTTCTCTCCAAACTCAAGATAGGTATCTGCTTCTTGAAGCCTAGTTCACTTCCCACTAGCAGAAGATCTGACTCCAACCCACTGTGTAACCTGGAGCCAGCAGCTTCAACTCTCAGTTCTCTACATTTTCCCCTCCTCTGCCTTTTTTTTTTTTTTTTAAATAAAGAACCGAGAATGAAGCCAGGTGCTGATGGCTCACGCCTGTAATCCTAGCTACTCAGGAGGCTGAGATTTGAGGATTGTGGCTTGAAACCAGCCCAAGAAGGAAAGTCCATGAGACTCTTATCTCCAATAAACTGCTCAGAAGTAGAGCACTAGCCTTGAGCACAAAGAGGCTCAGGGACAGTCTAGGTCCTGAGTTCAAGTCCTGGGACTGGCAGAAATAAAAATAAAAACAAATAAAAGAACTGAGGATGGCACCCTGCGTCTCATGCATGCTAGGTGAATGCTTCATAACTTAGTCATAACTAGCTGTAGAATCTTCTTTTAGGGGGGAAACCTCCTTCTGATCCCCATCCTAGCTCCCTTCCTACCTCCAGGCTGAACCCTTTGGTTCTGGACAGGCCTGGCTTGCCCAAGACTTGGGGTGGTGAGCAGTCTTACCTTAAAGTAAGGGAAGTGTTCCGTCATGAAGTTGTAGATCTCACTAACTGGAAGGCTTCCGGTTTTACTGTTCTTAAGGGCCATGAAGATGAGGATGCTGAAGAAAACAGAGAGTCCCTGAGAGTATGACAAGACCCTAGACACCTCCCAAACAAACTCTCCCTCTGATGATTGGCTCTGAGTAGATACTGAAGTCAGGAATCACAAATCTATCAGGGTCAGTGGAGTCTGAGAAACAATAGTTATTATCTGACTTAGCTAGGTACCAGCTGTGTGACCTTGAGTGGGTACCTTAGCTACTTCAAATCTCAGTTTCCTCTGCTGTGAAATGGGAGCAAGTAATAGCTATCTGAGAATAACATAGTACACTCATTATATGAAAACTGTCATTACCTGTCTGTCCTCAACCAGTTGCATGAAAATTGGATAGTAGGGAAGGAACTAAGATATCTTAAATTCCTGAAATATCACAGGCTGTGCCTCCTATATTCTTTTACTTAAACCTTCCAATAGCCTGAATTGCTGTACCCTGACTCTGTGTGTGTGCGTGCACGTGCGCGCGTGTGCCAATACTAGGGCTTGAACTCAGGGCCTAGCATTCTTTTTTTTTTTTTTGGTTGGTCACAGGGCTTGAAGTCTGGGCCTGAACACTGTCCCTCAGCTCTTCAGCTCAAGGCTAGCACTCTACCACTTGGAGATAAGAGTCTTACGGACTTTCCTTCCCAGGCTGGCTTTGAACCGTGATCCTCAGATCTCAGCCTCTTGAGTAGCTAAGATTACAGGCATGAGCCACTGGCACCCAGCCGGGCCTAGCATTCTTGTTTAGCTTTTTTGCTTAAGGCTGGCACTCTATCACTTGAGCCACACCTCCACTTTCAGTTTTTAGTTGGTTAATTGGAGATAAGAACCTCTCAGATTTATCTATTCAGGCTGGCTTTAAACTGTGATCTTCTAATCTCAGCCTCCTGTTTAGCCAGGATTACAAATGCAAGCCACTAGCACTAGACCTGACATTTCCTTCCTTCCTTCCTTCCTTCCTTCCTTTTCCTCCTCCCTCCTCCCTCCTCCCTCCTCCCTCCTCCCTCCTCCTCCTCCTCCTCCTCCTCCTCCTCCTTTCTTACCCATACAAACAAACAGAGGATCCAAGAGATTAAGTAACTAGTCTCAGTTTCACAGCTAGTAAATCCCAAATCTGGGTCTAGAACCCAATTCTGCTGTACTACAAGTCCTGTTTGTCTCATTCCTGCACAGCAGCCTGTCTCTTGTAAAGCCCCCTCTCTGTGTTTCTGACTGTTTTCCTTCTTCTTCCATCCCCTGAGTTTTTTCTAGCTGAGGATCTGGCTTCTCCCTGTCTCTGGGGCCTGCCACCCATTAGGTGACACATCCTTGTGGATAGGATGAGTAGAAGGACAGATGTACTGGGTGCTGCTAGTACCAAATCTCAGCCTCAGAGAGGACCCACCAGAATTGGCAGATGGCCTGTAACTGAGTCACTGCTACAACCCTCCTCCCTCATTTATTTCCAGCAGAGCTTTTGAACGTGGCTTCTCTCTGTATCTGGGGAGAGGGAAAAGAAGAGTGTCCTTTTCTCCTTACCCCTAAACTCCAGTCTCAGGCCCTGGGTACCACAAGGTTTGACTCATCAGGCCCATTCAAGGAACCAATGCTTTCTCCTGGGTTAGATGAAAGGTTAGGGGCCAACTAGTCCACTCCCTGCCCCCATTTAGGAATCTTCTCCTCGGTATCTTTTGGAACCTATTGGGTATGATTTCCACCTCTTGCTATTACCATCACACCCTAAGGATTCTATGCCTCCGTTCAGTTTCCCCTTCCTCCCCCACTCCTTTCAAGCCAAGGGTGTTGTTGAGAGATGTACCTGTAGGAGTAGATGGGTTTGGGGAAAAGCGGCTGGTGGCCATCAGCGCTGGCCTGGGGTGAAATCCTCTGGTATGGATAGTGAGCAGAACCCAGATAGGGTACAGGGTAGCTGCCACCGCCAGGCGAGTACTGTAGAGGTCAAAGGGGCAGAATGATTACCATGATAGCCAGCCTTTCCAAGGAGGGATTCCCCTCCCCCATTCCTATGTATCCAAAGAAATCACTGCGGTCTGATTGTCCTCTCCCTGGACATGGGCTCCACCACCCCCATGGCAGAGCTATCTGAGAGGGGACCAATGTGTGGACATCCTCATGATGGCCTGGGAGGAGATCCAATTCTGGAATGCAGAATCTCAAAGGCCTCAAAGCTCCCTTCCTCCAGCTCCTTCCTCTCAGCCCTTTAGGTGCTCTCATTGTCATGGTGATGGATGAAGAGCAGCCCTCAGCTCCTGCATCCTTCCTGGCAGGCACTCCAGGCTCCCCTGGGCCTCTCTTAGAGACTACTGGGCCGGAAGTGGGATGTCCAGCCTGGGCGTTTGCTGGGCACTGCCACCTTTTATGAGTTTCAGTGGCTCTTTGAAAGAGCCGGTCATGGTGGTGGGCAGGTGGGGGTAGGAGGTGGTTTTACAGCAAAGGGCGTGGCTGCGGTGCCGAAGATGGTGTTTTATGGGGGTAGGGGAGTAGGAGACTCTGACTCCCCCAGCTGCTCCGGGCTGAAGTGCTCTTTCCAGGTCACCGAGAGACACTTAGTGCCTGAGTCACCCTGTCTCTAGGCTCCATAAAGCCCTGGGTGCGGCCATCTTGTTCCAGAAGGGTGCAGACTACAGAGGGCATCAAAGTAGGACCAGACATGGTGAGGCCATTTAAGGTTCTGGTGGCTCCTTGATCCTGTAGTGGCTCCATCCTGGTTGTGACAGGCTGTCTCAGGGACATCTTCTACCCTGAGTCAGACCAGGAGTCTCAGGGCAGCTTTGACCATCGCAGTCAGGCCCTTTCCAGAAGAGAAGATGTTCCCTGGTGCCATGTGGTGTCCCTTGCTTCCTTCTTTTTCTCTTACAGTGCAGGCTGTCTGACTCCCCCCCCCCCCCCCCGCCCCCACCACTTGCCTGCCTCCTGGCTTGGCCAAGATCAGGGCCAATGCCAAAAAGGCAGGAGTAGAACCTGCTCCACAGGCAGGGCCTGTCCCAGTGCCAGGCTGCAGGTGGATAGAGCCGGGCGCTGGGCAGCCACTTGCTCTGTCTTGCCCGATGACTCTGGCTGCTCTGGGGCTCTTTTCTTTCTCTTAAAACAAAACAAAACAAAAGTCCCTCCATCCCTTGTCAGTGTGAAGTGATTATTTACCCCATCCTGTACATTTGGGCAAGGCTGAAGCTGGGTAGTGTAATGGGGAAAAGCCCAAAGCTAATGAAGACGGACAGCCTTCCAGGTAGGGAGGCCTCCTCACCTCATACTGGGGCCTACTCACTCTCAGTCAAAGGGAAATTGGAAGCTTAAGGTCACCTAGCAGGATGTGACCTGGCAAGGAGTCCATTATTTCCTGTCCCATGCAGCCTGAGTGTGTCACACCACACACCCCTTTTCTCTCTGTCCCTGTCTGTCTGGGGTGGCTCCTCTCTCCCTCCCTCTTTGCTTCATATCATGGCCTAGCCTCCTCTCAGTCTCACCCCTTCTCCCCTCCTCCCCCAAGGAAAAGCAATTATGTCTCTCCCCACTAACCACTAACCCCCTCCACCCCCACCCAGGGCGGCCCAGTATGAGATTCAGGACCCTGCTGCCTGCACTGAATCCCATTCACACCCACATTCACATCTATGAGCCACACAGAGTACACATCCACACGAGAAGATAATCCTGAGACCGGGGAGGGGTGGGGCACATGCTCACCTGCCCCAGACTCACCTGGTGGAAGGGAGGCTGGGAGGGGCAGTACATGTGCTGCAAGGGAGGCTGGTAGCAGTACATCCCAGCACCATTCTCCAGAGCTGGGGGCTTGACCTTGACCTCTGACCCCTGCTAGAAAAGAAAACCAATTTTGTGTTTGTTTGTTTTTTTCTCTTTTCCTATTCCCTCATCCCGAACTTTACACCAAACAAGCCCTTGCCCTTCCCTGCCTCTTTAAAGCTGATTCCTGGAGAAGAATAGAGAAACAGAGGAGGGCGGGGATTTCCCTCAGGGAGCTCAGCAAGTTAATGGTGTGAACCAAGGCTGGAATCTAACCCTTGTCCTTGCTTCAAGTGAGAGACAGAGGTTAGGCTGTGCTGGGAGAGGACAGAGAGGAGGAGAGACTTGTCAGTGGTCACATTGAATTAAGGACAGAGGAGTCCTCAGGGCCTAGCTGCCTCAGTCTCTACAAGCCTCAGGTCCTCTTTCACTAGGTGGAGATAATGGAACTTTCTACAGGATTGTAGGGAGGATTAAATGGGGGGTAGAACAATCAGGATCTGAGTAGCACAGAAAGTTCTGGATAATGGACACACATTGTGGGGGTAGATTATTCTTAGGATTCTCAGGGGTCCTGGGAAGCTGACCACTTGGGCTCAAAGGGACAAGCTAGCTGTGACCTTTTTCCTGGGTGTACCCTGGGGTTGTGAATGTAGAGATTGCCACAATCACAGAATCTTGGGCCTGGAAGGGCCTTGAGGTCTGCTGTCCAACCCCTTCATTTGATAGATGATGGGGCTGCCATCAAAGAAAGGAGCCCATGTGCACCAGGTCACCCAGCAGCTCAACCCAGGAGCTGTGGGGCTCTGAGTTGAGCTCTTCTCGCTCCATATGGATAAGTGTGTACTTAAATCTCAGCTCCACCATGCACAGGCTGTGGGCTGCCTTAGTCTCTATTAAGCCTCAAGTCCTCCTTCGCAAGGCAAAGAATGGTTGTAATGAAGATTAAGTGGGGGCACTTGAAAGAAAGCACCTGGCAGGACAACCAGGAGCTGGTGCTGAGTGGGCTTTTGGGGGCCGTTGCTGGTGTGCTGTTGCCTTAGTGGGGCTTGCTGGATAAGATCCTGTCTTGGCCACACCTGTCAGGTGTCCATCTCCATTTCCCATCTTCCTTTCTGGTTGGTAGTGGCTTGAGTGGGACTAGAATGGGGGCCCTGTTTGCAAGCAAGAGGTAGGGAGGATTGATGGGAATTTAGAGGAGGCACAGCTTAGCTGGGCCACTCAGTCACTGCTCTAAGACCATTTAGACAGAGTGGGGAGTGGGAAGTAAGCTCCCTTTGGTGTCCCAAAGAAACTACTCTCAAGAGGTTGTACCCTTAGCCCGACTTTTCCAGTGAGTCTCGGGGAGGCTAAGTGACTTGCCTATAGTCACCCAGCTTGCAGGTATAGCTGGGAAGACATGTTAACCTCTCAAAAATGTTTTAAAGATATTTCTCTGAACAGGCTCAGGCAAAGAATAGGGGGCAAACAAGCCTGTAATGCCAGCCCAGGGATGCTAAGGCACCAGTCTCAGTTCAAGGCCAGCTTTGGGCCATATAATGAACTCCTATTTCTGTAAAATAAAAAAATAGGGGCTAGGAAGGTAGCTCAGCGGTAGAGTGCTTGCCTTGTAAGCATGAGGCCCTGGGTTCGATTCCTCAGCACCACATAAACAGAAAAAGCCGGAAGTGGTGCTGTGGCTCCAGTGGTAGAGCGCTAGCCTTGAGCTGAAGAGCTGAGGGACAGCGCCCAGACCCAGAGTTCAGGCCCCATGACCAGCAAAAAAATAAAATAAAATAAAATAAAATAGGCAGATACCAGTGGCTGTACCTGTAATGCTAGCTACTCAGGAGATTGAGGTCTGAGGATTGTGGTTCAAAGCTAGCTCAGGCAGGAAAGTTTGTGAGATTCTTGTTTCCAGTAAACTATCAAAAAAGCCAGAAGAGGAACTGTTGCATAAGTGGTAGAGTGCTAGGCTTGAAGAACAACAACAAAAAACCTCAGGGATAGCACCTAGGCCCTGAGTTCAAGTTCTAGGATCAGCAAATCAATCAATCAATAATCAATAATCAATGAAATAGGACTTAGGAAGAAGTGCTTGGCATGACTTTAAAAGATTTAGCTTGGGCTGGGAATGTGGCTTAGTGGTAGAGTGCTTGCCTAGCATGCATGAAGCCCTGGGTTTGATTCCTCAGTGCCACATAAACAGAAAAAGCTGGAAATGGTGCTGTGGCTCAAGTGGTAGAGTGCTAGCCTTGAGCAAGAGAGTCTTAAGGACAGTGCCCAGGCCCTAAGTTCAAGCTCCAGGACTGGCGAAAGAAAGAAAGAATGAAGGAAAGAAAGAAAGAAAGAAAGAGAAAGAAAGAAAGAAAGAAAGAAAGAAAGAAAGAAAGAAAGAAAGAAAGAAAGAAAGAAAGAAAGAAAAAGAAAGAGAAAAAGAAAGAAAAGGATGTAGGTCCCTCAGCTCTGCACACTGGTATTCAAGAGGGAAGTTGAGCTCCTGGCTGAGCCCTTTCTCTTGGCCTCTGGAATGTGTTTTTCTTCTCACATTTGCATATGGGCGGGTTGGTCTGCCTGGAGATTCTTGACACTTGACAAACAGAAGTCATACTCTGGGATCCTGACTCAGGGCCTCTGGGAAGCTTCCAGCTTCCTTAGCCAGCTTCCTTAGCTTGCCGGGCCAGCATCCCTTCCCTAGCTGACCAAGTGGCCCGCACTGTGCTTTCTGTGTCCAGTGGAAGACTGATCTTGAGACACAAGGTCTAAAAAGGCAAGGTGGCAACGTTGAGCTCCTTCTAGTACCCTGAGAATCCAGACAAGGGAGAGGCAGGAAGGCCTGTGGCCACTGATACTCACCAGCACCTGGCTGTGCTCCTGGCTGGGGTAAGAGAGACCGTTGCACCAGGCCTCCGCTGGGAAGCCAGGCAGGAAGGCCTCTGCCTCACCCATGTCCACAGGGATGTCCTCAAAAGGCTCCAGTGCCCCAGAGGCCTTAAAGGAGTGTCCATCCAGGGCCAGAGCTGTCTGGGCATCAGAGAAGATGTCCTCATGGAAATGCCGCTTGTAGGGGTGGAAAGGCACGTGGTTGCCCTTGAGGAAGCGTCCAGGGCTGCTTCCTGGACCCTCCTCAAAGCCGAAGCCAGAAAACTTGTCAGAGGGTGAGAGCCGAAAGGGGCCTGAGCCAGGTCCGGCTGGGCAGTGTCCCTGGACTTGTTCAGGACCTGGTGACGCGATGCTTGGGCTGTGTGGAGGCAGCGAAGGGGCTCTCTCTGGAGGACCATCTGGCACAAATGATGAGCAGTTGAAGCCTGTATGCTTCTGGGTAGGAAGAGGGCAGAGACCTTAGGAGTGAGGGTTAGACCAGGCCTGGGTCCTGCCAGGGGATCTGTTCTGTGCTGGGGAAAATGGTCTGGGGCACAACTCTGGGAAGTCTCCGAATGATGGAGAACACATAGCCTGCTCTTGGGAGCCCCAACTTGATAAAAGCATACTACATCTAAACCTGGGGTCACCCTAAGGTTAACTGGGGCTCCATAGCCCTGTTATGGAAGAAACCCCAGACCCAAAGAATTGAACCCATATCTGAGCCTTTCTGGATCTCAGAGTCATCAAATACTTGATGGAAAGGACAAGATAGACCTTAGGAAGTCCCTGCTGCCCACATAGCCCTTGGGTTTTTATCCTAAGCCCAGGTTTAGGTGCCAGGTACTTACGCTCTGTGGGGCAGGGGAGCCTGGGAGGCCCGGAGCCTGCATGAGGTCCCCTTGGGGGTCGCCCTCCAATCGGGTGTGGCCTGGCAGTGTGACGTCAGACTGTGGCGGAAGTAATGACACCATCACCCAGTCCTGGCCTCGAAGAAAGCCGGCTGTGATGAGAGTGAGGACCAACATCTGGGGTGACTAACTACAACCTTCACTCCCACCCTATCCCTGGGCTAAGACCCTTCCTGTAGCCAGTCATCTGATGGGGCAGAGAGAGAGAGAGAGAGCCCCTTTGCCAGGTAGGACCCTTGGAAGAGGGGTCTTGCTGTTCTCAGTTCTGCAGCTGTAGGGTACTGAGTCAGAGATACCCTGTTTCCCCACCAGACTCTGTCCCTGGCTCCTTGTGCTTGGCCTCCAATGTCTACAACAAAGGGCTGGGCTAGCTGATCTTGTTCAAAGGCTTTTCAGGCCCTGAAAGGAAGGGGATCAAGAGGATGATTCAGGCCCAAGCTTGAGGTGGGAGAACTCTGAAGCTGCAGAGGTTGGGCCCATAGTTGGCCTCTTGCTTGGTGGCTCATCAGCTTGCCCTGCAACATCTGGCAGGTGCTATTTTTACTACAGCCTCCAAATTTCCACTCAAGCCTGGCACTGTACCATTTAAGCGCCAGCTCCATTTCTGTTTTTGTTTTGTTTTGTTTTTTGGGGCTGATTAGTAGGAGATAAGAGTATCCTGGGCTTTCCTGTCCGGGCGGCCTTGGAACTGTGCTTATACATACTAAGCATATCCTCTACCATGGAGCTATATCCCAGCTCAAACCACTGTTCATTTCTAAATTTTTCAGTTTCTCTCTGAAAATCTGGGGTTTGGGACTAAATCCAAGCGTTCAGATCTGCTGGAATAGAAGAACCCTGACCCCAGCACAATGGAATGGTTAAGAAGGATTCGGGGCTCAGCGCCAGGCTCGGCCCTGTCTTCCTAGCTGTGTCAGCAAAGCTCTCTGCACTTTAGCAGCACCTGCAAAACAGGGCAAGGATAGGACCTAGCACACAGGGCTGTCGTGAGCATGAAATGAAATCAGGCATAGAAAGCATGGATACAGTGCTGAACTCAGGATGAGTGCTCTCATGATTAATGTCATTGTCAGTGTGGTTCTTCTATCATCCTCCACTCTGCGCAGCTCCCTTTGCCATTTGCAAAGGGCACTGACTCTGGAATTCTCTCCTCGTTCCCCCAGCAGCCTTTGATAACAGCTACTGTTAGCTAAGGATCTGCTTTAGGCTGGTCACTGTGAAAAGTTTGGGACAATGTTCTCCAAATCAGCCTGTGAGAATGGTACATTATTAACACATCTTTCTGATGACGAAGCAGGTTCATAGGGGTTATGTGGCTTCCCAAGTCACACAGCTAATTCTTTTTTTTTGGGGGGGGGGTCTGGTCGTGGGGCTTGAACTCTGGGTCTGGGTGCTGTCCCTCAGCTCTTCAGCTCAAGGCTAGCGCTCTACCACTTGAGCCACAGCACCACTTCTGGCTTTTTCTGCTTATGTGGTGCTGAGCCTCATGCATGCAAGGCAAGCATTCTACCACTGAGCCACCTTCCCAGGCCCATCACACAGTTAATTCTAAGTCAGAACTTGAACTCATTGGGGTTGGAGGTGTGGCTAAGTGTGCCAGCCAGTAAACGAAAGCATCAGATAATGAGTTTGAGTCCAGATCTTGGAAAGAAGAAAAAGGAGGAGGAGGAGGAGGAAGAAAAGAAGGAGGAGAAGAAGGAGAAGAAGAAGAAAAAGAAGAACAATAACAACAACAACAACAACAGCAACAACAACAACAACTTGAACTCATCTTTGACTGGCTCTGGAATTTATACTTTAGGTTCCTTCCCTGGGGGTGGGGGTGAGGGCAGGATCAGAGCTGGGTGGGTCAGGCAAGAAGAAAAGCCTGGGCTCATTATCTTTAACCCTTCTACCCAAGATTCTCTAAAGCCAGAACCAAGCAGCTGTTCCCATCATGCTCTTCTTGGGAAGACCTCATTAGTCTTGAAATGACCAGCCAGAAGTTGACACATCTTTACTGAATCAACCATCTCTAGAGAGGGTAATGGAAACAAGGAAGGGGAGAGAATCTGCCCAAAGTCCTGGTGGGGATCAGCTTGGGAGGAGACTGGTAGTTGGGGTGCCAGTGGGGGCCTAGTGGAGGTTCTCTAACCCCTTCGAGAGTCCCTACCGCCCCTTCTTCTCCATGTCTGGTGGCGCCTGCTCACTCTGTGATGCTAAATGTGGCGTGACCAGGGAAGCGCAGAGCTGGCCGTAACTGGACACCGCACGGAGGCAGGCCTGGGGCCTGAAGTATGGGGTGGCCCATCTCAGGCTTCGCATGACCGCCTCAGCCTGGCCCTTGCTCCCTGGACAGCTCCTCCTGGATGGCTCCAGGCCTACCTATGGGGGGTGGGGGCGGGAAGGAGGAGGAAAGGAGAGCTTGGCACTTTCCCAGGGCATTCCAGCCCCTTCAGGAGCAAGGTAGTGGGAGTGGGGAGGGGGTGGCAGTTGGGGGGGGGGCGGAATTCCCCTCCCCTCCCAATCTCCAGCACTGTTATCTGGTGAGGGGTGGCTGGTAATGAAGAACCAGGACTTTGATTTGGGCCAACTTTACTTTGGGATCCAACCATGTCACTTTCTAGCTGAGGACTCTGGGGAATGATATTTCCCTTTCTTCATCTGATACATGGAGCCTATGGCTCACCTCTAGGGGTCCTTAGGAGGATTTAGGGAGAGGAGGTATAGAGGGTGCTAGAACATGCCCAAGGACACATGTCACATATTTGGCCCCATTCACTCAAGGGGCTGGAACCAAGGCTACTTCACCTCAGGCTCTACAGTTTCCCTAATGGCCTCGTGTGCTTCTGGCCTGGTAACCTTTGGGATATGGGCCAATGAGCTCATCTCCAGCTGGCAACTGCCCTTACTAGCCCTGCCTGCCCATTTGCTTGTCACTCAGCCTGGGTCTCAGGAGGCCCAGACCCCTTCCTAACCTCTGTACACATGTGGATGTAAGGACACCTCCCAGAAATGCAGCTCAGTGTTCTCTCAAAAGCACCCCAGCAGCACCTGCTTCACCTCATCCTTGACCCAGCCCTCAATTCCCAGGCCTGGGTTATCTATACACCCTGGCTGAGTTCTTGAATGTTAAGAGGCCTGCAGAAGCCAGATGCCAGTAACTCATATCTATAATCCTGCCTACTCAGGAAGCTGAGGATCTGAGGATCAGGGTTCAAAGCCAGCCTGGGCAGACAAATCTGAGAGATTCTTATTTCTAATTACCCAGCAAAATGCCAGAAATAAAAGTGTGGCTCGAATGGTACAGTTCCAGATTTGAGCAGACAAGCTAAGGTAGAGTGCAAGACACTTGGAGTTCAAGCCCCAGTACCAACACCAAAAGAAAAAGAAAAGATAGAAAGAAAAGGCTATCTCTGACTGTGACTTTCATACCTTGACTTGGCTAAACCATTACCCATCTCCTCCAAGCCACTCGAGTCAAGATTAGAAACTGGCTATGCAGAGCTCCAAGGCCTGACCCTCAATTAACACTGATGATGCAAACGTCCCTTCAGTCCAGGTTCATCTGGGCAGGCTCTGTAAGAGCTGAAGCTCTGGGCTTTAAGCTGCTAAGAAGAGGGTAAAAGTCCAGAAGAAAGGGGCCCCTCAATCAACTCCATTCATTTGCCCTGCCTCAAGTTTAAATCAACTCCATTCATTTGCCCTGCCTCAAGTCTAGGCCAAAGGCCCCTCCTATCCAGCATGGGAGGAGTTCACTGTGGGGTAGAGGGAGAGGGAGTGGCTGGTTCCAGCCCCATCTGTTGTATCCAGCAGAACTTTTGAAGCTGAATGACCTGGAGTCAGACCTGGGTCTGAATCCTAATCATGGTGGGAAATTGATTGAACAGGTTGCTTAACTGCCTTCCCTGGGCCTCAGTTTCCTCGTCTGTAAAATGGGGCTAATAATACATACCTCTCAGGAGGATTAGATGAAATATTGCTTGTAAATAGCTGAACGCATAGTATGTACTCAATAAATGATAGCTATTATTAGTAATTAGCAGTGGGGCAGAGTTAATTTAAGGCATGGGGGTAGGGGAAGGGAACGCCAAGGAAACTCCTCTTTCATGCTCTTTCCTACCTTTCATCACCTGCTGCCTGACATTGTTGTCCCCCACTGGCAGAGGCTCTTGACTCTGGCCTCAGAGGTCATTTCAGCCTTCCCCAGTAGTAGAGCCAAAGTCTAGAGGAACTTGTAGAGACTATAGTGAAAAAGGGTATAATCCTGGGTATAAGGAGTCCTCCCAATAACCCTAGTGTCCTGGGCTGGCATCTGAATCCTGAAGAAATCTTTCACTATGTCTAACTTTGATCCTACTTATTTGGATTTCAGGGAGCATAAAGAGATGTGAGCACAGATATCAGGGAATCAATGCTGTCTTCTGCTCTCAGATCCCTGGAGCCCTCCCAGAACACTCTCATGGCTCCTCGTGTACAAGCTGCGATGACCCACAACCTCCCCCATTCCTGGGCTGGAAGCCTGGGCTGTCAGTGGTGGACTGGGACCTGAAGCCCTATGATTCTCAGGACCATGATCATCATAGATCTACATCTATGGAACGCTCCGCAGTTCACTCTGTGTTTTATATATTATTCCATTTGTTCTTTCTGCCTCTCCTCCCACTCTGGGGTACAATGACTCCACTGGCAGAGGTTTTTAGGAACCAAGAGTACCCATGTCTTCCCAACGCCATGTCCCTTGAAAGCAGGCTAAGTTAGCTCCGGTGAGAGCAACTGGCCAGAGAAATTTGCACAGGCTACAAATCAGAGTTATGTTCTTTTTCCTGCTCATTGGCAGACAGTTACCATCAGAGAAAGATAGACAAAGTCCTTAACCCCATTTTTCAGAGGGGTGAAAACTGAGGCCCTGAGAGAGGAAATGGCATGTCCAGGGCCAGGCAGCTAAAATGTCACCTCACATCTCCTCTCGTGCTTCCAGAGCCCTGACAGCAAACCCCAGCACAATCATTCCAGGAAAGTCAACGTTGGACAAGAAAGTCAACGTTGTCCAACCCCTGCAGAGGCTTTGTCGGTATCTAAGCAACCTCTTTATCCTTGCCCTCTA